TACAGGCCCAGAAGAGCTCAGAATATGAGATAATTGAAATTCCAGTCCATATTGTGCCTCATGTCTCCATTGGGAAAGTGTGTCTTGAATCAGCAGTGGAGCTTCCCAAGATCCTGTGTCAGGAGGAGCAAGATGCATATCGGATGATTCACAGCCTTACACACCTGGACTCAGTAACCAAGATACATAATGGCTCAGTGTTTACCAAGAATCTGTGCAGCCAGATGTCAGCAGTCAGCGGGCCTCTCCTGCAGTGGTTTGAAGACAGACTGGAGCAAAACCAACAGCATTTGCAGGAGCTGCAGCAAGAAAAGGAAGAACTTCTGCAAGAACTTGCTTCCCTAGACTGAAACAGCTGACAAATAGGGTCTTTTTAAAAATTTGTATACTAAATATGGCTCAGAACTGCACCCAAGTCTGGTGTAGGCAGGCAGTGGGGCAGTACTTTTCTATTGCTTTATATATGCAAAAGCACAAGATGCTTTTCCTAAAAATTACTCCAGAGTGTATTGAACCCTTCTACTGTACCTATAAATGGGCTACAGACAGCGTATACTAGGTGCTTTATGCAGTATGTGAAAGTACATTGACAAAGACTAATGAAATGCCCCTGAAGTGTATGCTAAATGTTATTTTGCCTTCTTAAACTTAGAAGTCTTTATTTCCATTTTCAGTTATATCCACCCCTACCTGGAGCTAAAGAACAGAAGAACACTTTATGTTTCTACTTGTAGTTATGATACTTATGTTAGACAAGGAAAGAGTAAGTACATGAGTTAGTGTAGGGAAGTGGAGAGGACTCATCCACACCTCACTGCTAATTGAGAGGCATACAGCTCATGCTTTCTTCTTGGTCGCTGTAGTATGTATTCCTTTTTTTTTTTTTTTTAGTATTTTGGGGAAGGATCTACAGGGTGTTCAGGGTCTCACTGCTGGATTGGACTCGTAGTGATCTGCCTGTTTACAGCCTCCCAAAAACTGGGATTACAGGTGCAAGCCACCACGCCCAGTCTTAATTGCTGTCTCAGTGTGCCCTGGGTGCGGGGCTGGCGCAGTAGACCCAGGGATCAAGCCCTCGGCCCCTGCTTGCAGGTGCTTTGATCTGCTGAGCTATTTGGCTGATCCTCTGCAGTATGTATTCTGAGACACTTATCAACCTTAAATCTCTATGGGTGCCTTTTTAAACCAACCAGATGAATTCTAGATATTTGACTATGAAGCAAATTCCTATTGAGCAGATCCTATCTACCTAGGAAATTCCATTATAATATAAATGTTTTCTAAATTTTTTAGGATTTAAAATGTAATAAAAATCATGCTTTGAAAAGTTCAATGGCATCATTCCTACCATGTGTAGTTACAAATGATAAACGTGTATCTTCAGGAAGTATTCAGGCCCATTGCATATTGAGAAAAACTTGGAATTGCAGGA